GAGCAGGATTGGACACCCCTGCCCAAGAAACCCTAGCATCTACACAGCAACGTACGTTTTTTACAGACCCCCCGAAAACTCAAACTTGTTTATAAGATGCCCTGAGCTCAAGTGTGGGTGGTTTGTATCCTTGGTTACACTAGGTTACACTACAAGAGATGTGGACACAGTGCTGGAAGGCAGCAGGTTCAAAGGTCTCTAGATTTCTTTTGATTACGGCAGCGCCTCACCCCAAAATGCTCCAGGGTGTGCCTGTCTGCAAATATGAACTTGCTCCTAATGCAAAACCAGAACTTCAGAGACTCTTGTGAGAAAAAAAATAAAACTTTTTCAATTTGTGCTCTTGCAGTGTAGAGGAACAAAGCTGTCAAATGACTGCAAATCATCAGACATTCGCTTCACGTTCGATGCTCGCATCACCCACAGTGAAGGTTTGTGGCTTTCAGTGCCTCTCTTTCAAAAGTTGAGCAATGCCTTTGGGTAGATAATATATTTAAACACTCTGATCAACATTTTATAAGCATATAAAGCAGATAGAATAGGGAGGGTTGTCTCTCCCCTTGAGTGTCCCAGTCTACCCTCCATGGATTTTGAGGAGTTTTTCTCTTTCTCTTCACCTCGTTCTGCTTACTGCTCGATATATCTTATCCCAGAGTTGCTCCTCCTGCTAATGAAGGCCATTTTCTCATGTGGAATGAGAGGTTACTAAGTCACCGGATCCATAAAACTGTGATGACCTGTAGAGTGTCCAATAGCAAGGTGTCCTTCCAAGAGCTGTCGCTCACTCAACATGGTCACTGGGACCCAATGAATGTGGGTCAGAGGGAAGGTTATAAATTAGTATGAAAACTCCCACTGTTCTTCCCGCCCTCCATCCCAGTCTGCTTCCTTATTATCCGTACAGTGTGGCTGAACATGGAGGATTCAAATTGCTTTAGACAGAGAGTGAAATAAAAGGGAGTTTTTTCATTCCTTTGATCACAGAGCTTCACACTTCTGTATCTTTCCTCTGTTCTTTTCTTCGGGAATCGTCAGAAGAGCTGCATGGCCCATCATGAGCTGCAAGGATCTCATCAAGAAAACATCTAAGGGCTGTAATTATGCAATCCTGCTGCTCATTAAGAAATCTTCTATTGACCATTCTTCAGAGAGACAAAGACGAAAAGAGAGAGAAGGAACAACTGTTAAGTGCGGCCTGTGCTCATCCGAAGTCATCCAAAGTTGGCACTGGAATGGTTAACCCACAATTTTATTCACATTGCAAACACACAATGCACATACGATGGAAATAGAATGGTTAATATTGGACAGAAGATTTTCAATTGACACATTCATAGTCTGTCCTAAGTCAGGTGTCAAGGTATTGGGAGCTACACTGAATGCTTTTGAACACAAAATAATCATCAGTGTATTTGAAGTTTGCCAGGTTAGTGGCATACCATTTTTTTAATAGATATTCACAATTTTGTTAGAGTCACTTGGTAGCAATTAAACTAGATATCCATGAGCAGAATGCCATATATTATGATTTGATTTTGGAGTTATGTCTGTGAAATAATCAGTACAGTAATTATTACTTCTGGATGAGAAGACAGTCACATTTCATCTATGTCTATGAACATTTTGCAATATATATATATATATATTATTTTGTAGAATTTTTCTCTTATTTTTTATCAATAAAGTGTAGTTATAGTAATTATTGCATTTTGTTTTTTAAGCTAATTATTTTTTATTATTATTCAGAAGTCAAATGACATATTTACAATAATATACAGCAGCTCTTCCATTCACTTTCCCAATTAAAACCAAAATTATGCTATGAGTGTATCAAACTTTAACACTGCTTTCCTAACACCTACAATAGAGGGTTAAATCTGAAAACAGGAAAAACAGAGGACATACACTGTGAGTGGAACCAAATGGCTGATTCAGCACTGAATGTGTCCAAAAAATGTGAGAAACTACTTTGAAATGAAACAAGCTCACCTGCTATCGAGCCCAAATTGGAGGGGAGCAAAAACCTTTTTCCTGATCCGACAAATTGGAGCTTTTTGAGCGAGCACTGCTGTGTATAAAGTAATTATTCTTGTCCCAAAATGAAAACTACGAGGGATAAAGTGAGCAATTCATGCAGAAAGCCTGTGGAAAGGGCTGTTCAGGGTAACGGGTGATGCGTTCTACAAGCAGGCCTGATCGAAACCAGCGTGATGTTTATTTATGTCCGAGTGCTGAGGGTACCATGTGAAACCTGCAATATTGAACAAACACCCTAGAGATCCAGCAGGGTCCCATTAAAGAGAAATGGCGAGAAAAGACAAACTTTAAACTGACTTTGAAGCAACAGTCCTTTAAATAAATCATTTTGTGAGTCTCCCAAAATGGAGGCAGCATCCAGCACCTGCGTCTCGTTTTAATAATTCATTTCCTGTCACAACCAGACATTCCTCTAAAGCGTGTGTGCATGGTGTGTAAACTTGTTTGTGTGTGTGAGAGAAGGAGGGTGTTTATCTTTTTTTATCAGGTCTTTAAAACGTAAACATTAGATTGCAGAGAGAAAAGGACTACTGCTAGCTAGATTTGCATAGGATAGACAGCTTGCACTTACAATGAACTGAAAGAAACAATGAGTTTGAATTCTGCAATTTAAAGTAATAAAAGAGGAATTATTAACTGAGAACATATTTAATTTCATTGGTTTAAAAAATGCCAAGGTTTCTAAGCAACATAAATTTTTCACAAGTATAAAGGTCAGTCTCTAGGGGAGATCGGGGCAGTTGTAACACTCAAATTATTTGATAAGCTACCAAATAAGATAGACTGATGACATTTATTTATTTAGTAGGGTTCTCTCTGTCTGACTGAGAAAAATACAGTTATTATAAAATATAGTTATATATAGTTGTTACACTGTGAAACATTTTTGCAAAATAAAATAAAATCAAAATAAAACTGAGTGTGAATAAATGACAGAATTCAATTCAATGTTATAAACAAATCTTTTCCATTATATGTTTATTAATGGTGAAATTACATTATAGATATATAAATCTTTTATACAAAAAGATGGTAGCTAGATTTGTAGCATTCTGAGAGTTATGAAGGATTATTGCAGGTTACACTTGCTCCTGCATTGGATGAACCATATTTTATCCATTCATCCATCTATACAAGCTTTCAATATCTAATATGGCCAAGAATGTGCGATTACATTGAAAATGTTTGTTTCGCTTTCCACCTATTCATCCATCTTTTTTATTCATCTGTATACCCTTAATAAGCTGCCTAGCCAGCCGACCATGAAAGGGAAGGAGAGGCGGACCGTAAAGGATAAATATGAGGAAGACGTTGAGAAACTAATAGGCTGAGTTTCCTTTCTATAGCAGAGAAAACAAATGATACATTTATCAGTCTATAAATAAGGGGCAGCCAAAGATCAATAGCAACATGAAACCAAGGGGGTGTGTTTATGGACCTGCCACAAAAGAGAGGGAGAGTTAAACAGAAAGCTTATATTATGAACAGAAAGTTACCAAGGCTTTCACAGGCTAACTGATTGGAGACGGCTCTTTCAACTGTTCGTTACAGGCCTACCTTATTCCCTGGCCCCAGCCCTCCATCAGAAAACAGCCTGGGGAAATGACTGAATGGGCAGTTACTAGCAGTAGATAAAAGGGAGTGAAAAAGGGAAAGATAGAGACAGATTGAGAACTCTGAAAATAAATCAGGTATGGGGAACGGTTTGAAGTTCAGCCTAAAACCTCCCCAAGGGTTCATCTCCATCTCCAGAGTTGTGTTTGGAGTGTCCTGCTGTATCCAGGCCAGCGCTGCACACTCAAAGGACTCCATACACTCATCTGAGTGACAAACACATCCTTAAAGGCTTAGTTCACCCAAAAATTTGAAAATAAATCAGGTATGGGGAACGGTTTGAAGTTCAGCCTAAAACCTCCCCAAGGGTTCATCTCCATCTCCAGAGTTGTGTTTGGAGTGTCCTGCTGTATCCAGGCCAGCGCTGCACACTCAGAGGACTCCATACACTCATCTGAGTGACAAACACATCCTTAAAGGCTTAGTTCACCCAAAAATTAAAATTAGCTTGTGTTTTACTCACCTTCGAGGCATCCTAGATGTATATGACTTTCTTCTTTCAGACGAATCCAATCGGAGTTATATTAAAGACTGTCCTGGCTATTCCAAGCTCTATCATTGCAATCAGCGGGTGTTGCAGTTGAACAGTCCACAAGTCATCAAATAAAGCGTGCGCATCCATAATAAAACGTCCTTCACATGGCTCCGGGGGGTGAATAAAGGCCTCCTGTAGCAAATCCATGTGTTTTTGTAAGAAAAATATCCATATTTCAAACGTTATAAACACTTTTCTGTCACTTCCATTATCTGTCATACGCAGAAGGTGCGAGACTAGCATATCTCAGAGGCGCGCGCGCTGCGCATACGTCCTGCGTCATCCGTCGGAACGGCTTCCGTGTATGACAGATACCGGAAGTGAGAGAAAAGTGTTTATTACGTTTGAAATATGGATATTTTCCTTACAAAAGACGCATGCATTCACTATAGGAGGCCTTTATTCACCCCACGGAGCCGTCTGCGGTCTAATTTTCATTTTTGGGTGAACTAACCCTTTAAAGATGGAGTATGTAATGTTGATAGCTAGCGGTTGAAATGGTTTCTGCAGTCCAAATTCAAAATATTAGACGTGGTTGTTTCTCCTCACTCAACGCTCATGCAGGTTGCCAGATTGAGGACACACAACAGGAACAAGCGCAATTGACAATGAAAGGCAACAATCCTTACACTGTAAGTTGATGAGTTGATTTGTCCGTGTTTTATTATGCATCTGGTCATAGAGCATTTTAGATGGATGCTGCTGAGGCTTTATAGGTCGGGTAGAATCTGCGAATACACTCATGTGTAGTCACAATGAATGTTTGTTTTATTATTAATATTTATGTATTTATGATGTGACAAAAAGGGGAAACAAGAGTTGATTGTACACTGAGTTATTTAATAATTATCACCTGACTGAGTTTTGAAACAATACAGCTCTAGCCACTAGAGAAAGTATGCATGTTGTGCTTACCTCAGATGCTAACAAGCTGCGCCTGAGGAAAGCCACTGAAGTTTGCGTGTGCTTTTGTTTCTCCTGATAATTCAGGTGTTTTCATAAATACGGAAAATGTGTGTCATTATGAATGTAAAAACATGCGTGTACACATTTCCTATTTGTTGGAAAGCGAATAGCTTGTTCACGGTGGCTAATTGAGTCTTTCAGATGAAAGCAAAGGTAAAATGACAGTTGGTCTGTGTTGTGTTTGTGATCATCAATTTCCATGCTAATAATAATACATTTATTCCAGTATGTGATAATTGAATAGAAAAATATGTGTCAAGTGTGACCGTAACAATTTAAATGATACAAGATAACAGATGCATGATGATGACAAATGAGTTTAATAATTCAATTGTAGCATTAAATGGTTTTATAAAAGAAGTGTTCACAGAGATGGCTGACTGAAGGAACTTTAAAGTGTATTTTGTGTCAGACTGATAAGTACACAAGCTATAATGATTAAATGTGTTAATGTATAAGAGTGATAAACAAGGAACAAGTATTTGAAGACTTTATTGCTGTGAAATAATTTTAAAAGAATGGTGAAAACACTGAAAGAGAATTCATTATTATGCTGTTGCTATGATGTTAAAGCTTGCGCTCACTGTTGTACACGGAAGCAGCTCCGGGCAGATGACATATGAGGTCATATACACCTAGGATGACTTGAGGGTGAGTAATTTATGGGCTAATTTTCATTTTTGGGTGAACTAACCCTTTAATGTTAATAAAGAGATGCTACAAGCTGTGCCTTAGGAAAACCACTGAAGTTTGCATGTGCTTTTGTTTCTCCTGAAAATTCAGGTACTTTTAATCTGTTTACGTGTTCCACTCCCGGGACCTATAACAATTGCACACATCATACACAACTTCTTCACTGGATGCAGAAATTTTACACTGTATACGGAAGCTTAACACTGTAAGAACAACCTTTATACTACATTAGGACACCTTAAAAAGGCACAAGAACCCTCACACTGCATAAAGATACACTGATTTCAGAACCATTACACCCCACAAGAAACCTTCACACAAACAACTTCTGAACTTTCAAACTGCACAAATATCCTTTACACTGCACTAAGAAAACAGCACAAAGAGCCTTTACACTGCATGATGAACCTTCTAACTGCACAAATTAACTTCAAACGGGCACTGAGGTCCTTTAAGAGGAACTTTTAAAATACATGTAAAGAATTTTTACACAAACAGCAAACTTGTAGAACTCTGCAAACAAACTTTTCACTGCATAAAGGAACTTTACACAGAATGAGGACACTTTACAGGGCATGAAGACAAACATTTACACAGCATGACATACAATTAAATATAGAACAAATAATAAATAAAGAATCTTCACATTACATGAAGAAATGTTATACTGCATGAAATTTGCATAGAAAAAAAAAAACCTTCACACTGTATGCAAAGAATCTTTACACTGGACAAAGAAACTTTACACAACACACTTGTAGAACTCTGCAAACTTTACACTGCATAAAGGACCTTTATACAGGATGAGTAACATTTACATGGCATTAAGACCAGAAATTTCACAGCATGATATACACAGCATATATACATGATATATATATAACATATACATGTTATACTGCATAAAGAACTCAAACTCTCCAAACCAACCTCCAAACAAACCAACAGCAATAAGAATGTTTGCATAACCGAAGAACTGCATCAAAAGCCCATATACCTCAAACAAGCAGTTTGGGCTGCTCTGCAAAAAACTTACTTAAAAATCTTCAGCTGATTTATGGGAAGGGCAGCAGTGCTCACCTTCAGAGTTCAGACTTCATAGACTATATAAAGTGGATTGCCATAAAATTCAACGAGCTGTAATGAGGCCGAAATGAGATCATGATTTATTCAATCTCTTGCTATACTTTAAAGCCATATTTTTCAATAAACGCATTACTCCATGAAGCTTACTATTGCATAATGAAATGCTACTTTGCTCACTTCTTTAAAACCACTGCTGTTTTGAGCTAGTTCGGGTAAAGTGTTTTTATACAGGTAGCATTTCAGGGTCAGAATCAAGGTTCTGTTTACAGCACATTCAGTGTGCTTTAATGCAAAGCTTTGGACACAAGATGATCCTTTTAGCTGCAAGTATATCACAAACACACACATACTTACACAATCTTGAAATACTACACAGACAATAATCTAAGCTAAGATGAAATAAGCAACGATTTATGTAGCTCGTTGCACATTGCAGCATATAAGGAAAAGATAGATACTGTGCAAACCCAAACCTTTCACACACTGGCCAATCAATGAGAACAATGTGTAGCTAACAAATCCTTTCATTATAGGCTGATTTAAGAAAGCAATCAATCTTGCTGACCAATTCAAATTCTCAAATGTGTGGATATTGTAACGAATTCAGTCCACTGAAGGAGAGCGTAGTGAAGAACCCAAGTGCAGTTTATTTACAGTGTGATCCAAACATCCAAACAATAATCCGAGACTTGACTTGACATGAACAGACTTGACTTGACTTGACGAGGCATGAACAGACTTGACTTGACATGAACAGACTTGACGTGGCATGAACAGACTAGACTCACCGACAGCGGGTTACAACATCAATACACGACGAGAGACAATGGCAACATGATGGCTACTTATAACAAACAAGGAGGGTCACATGACATGAACAAACCAATGGGAAACAAGACACATGACTAAGACAACCAATCAGAACATGACACATACACAAGGCAGAGATACATGAGGGCAAGGGAAGCATGACACTGACAGCATGAAACAATTACAAAATAAAAGACATGGAAAACATGAACATGAAACAAAACCCAAACACCAAACCCCACATTACAGATATATAATTTTTAATCATTTAATTTCTACATCTGTCATTTTTGGATAGAGGATAAATGCATTGATGCACAACTGCATGTTGAAATATTTGTCTAGCTGTATGTTATTGCTTTCAGTTACTCATTCAGGAGCACATTTGTTTGCATTTTGTTTTGTGGTTTCACTAGACTGGATTGAAAAGCAATTGATTGAACGTGGGTCTGCCATAACAAATTCAAGTGTCAGATCGCCACTCATTATAACAAACAAAATTAAGACTCCTCCTCGAACAATGGAGATGCTTATTCTGTATTAGATACATCCCTGCAACAAGTAATTTCATAAAGTGGTGGGGGAAAATCTGCCATTGAAACATATGGTGATGAAAAAATGATAATGAGATGTGGATCGAATGCTTTGTTGAGGTCATGGACCAGCCCAGACTTTAACCTACTACACCATACAAGTTTTGTCAATGGTTTAGGAATGGAATAGAGATGAAACTTTACAGAAATGATTGGGCTCGACCATTGAAAGGCATGCGCTCTGTGAAGAACTCTGTGTCCTGCACAAGCCTCCTGTGACCCCCGTACTGAAGTTCGTCCGAGTTAAATTTGATCTTATATCTGATACAAAACATGATCAAGGAACTGTAAGGAGACTCTAGCGAAACGCTCTTTGGTCTTGTGACATTTATCTCTCTCTTATACTCTCCCTCTCGTCAAGAGTAGCTCAGGGACAGATGGTTGGTCGGATAATGATAAACGCATGAGATGTGATGGATGGCTGTGCTGTTGGGTAACAGCTCAAGACAAGAGGGAAGCACCAGACAAATGACACTCAAGACATTGATCTCTATCTACATCTCTGAAGTGAGACAATGCACATTTGCAGTCATGGGAGACCTCTAATCAATGATACATGTTTGAGAGAGAAACTGAAGAATAATAAAAGTGTTTCTAAAAAAATTCTAAAAAAAGAGAAAGAAAGTTTATTTGTAGATACATGTATAACCGTATCCACAAAAATATAAAGAAGCACAACTGTTTTCAACATTTATAATAATAAGAATGTTTGTTTTTTTTAATCACCAAAATCAGCATGTTATAATAATTCCTGAGGAAACATGTGAGAATTTAGATTTGCCATCAAGGTAATAAATTACATTTTAAAATATATTAAAATAGAAAATTTCAATATATTTAATTTATTTTTTAAATAAATGTAGTTATTTTAAATAGCATTAATATTTAACTGTATTACTGTGGTTTTGATATCAATCATAAAAAATAAAAAAAACAAACAAAAAAAAAACAATTTGGCATATACACTGCCTGGCCAAAACAAAAAAAAGGTTGCCATTTCGTTGGACCGCCTTTATCGATAACATTGTGTTCTTTTGTTGTGGAATTGTTTCAACAACATTATGCAACATCACAATATTTATTTCCATCAAGAGTTATATAAATTTTTGTCTGATATCTTTGTCTGATATAATTTTTGTCCACTATTTCCCAATTTGGGTCCAGTGAATCCTGACATTGTCATCCTGGAATATGGACATGTGCACGTCTTCCAATATGGTTGTTTAAGAAATGAAAAGCTATAGGGTTAAAAGAGTTGTTGCAAAACATATAACATACCAGAAATATATTAATCACTGCAATAATGATGCAATTCCAGACTCTTCAGTATTTACTTATTTAAATCCAAATGGAGACTTTTTTTTTTTTTTTGGCCAGGCAGTTTATCTGTGTCTTTTTTAAAGATTAAGCATATACTTAAAATTTTGACTTATGAAGATTCATATGAATGCTAAACAAATGATACTGGAAGCACATTAGTCACTGTGTGTTCTGCAGCAATTTTGATGATAAATACCAGCTTGTGACCTTGTAATCATGTTACACGTAACTGAATCATCAGTGTCTCAGTGTTTAGTGGATCAAGACCCCTGCTAGTGCCCAAATGCATGTGCACCATACTGATTCACGTCACAGGTAAATGGCAGGAAGAGTTGAAGCGTTGATTGCCAGTAAGTA